TTGATTTATACATGACGACCGGCGTTTTTATTTCTCACACAACTAGGAAGCACGAAAGTGATCAAAGTGTAGTCCTAGGAAACTTCGAGATTGTGTAGGCCATTACGCACACTTAGCACGCTAACAGACCGCTAAAGGAGATGTGTCAGGTATTTATGTGTTTGGTTCTGGATTGGTGGAACCTTTGCGCATCGGATGGTTTTTAAATATTAACTTTGAAGCAGGCCAAAACAGCAAAATTTATTTGGGCAAATAAATTTCGAGAGAGTTTATCAACTGCGTTGTCTCTGTGCATAAATAATGAAAATAGTTTGTGTTTTCACAAAATTGATAATAGCAAGGTCATTTTGACGTAGCAAAGTGTCAAAAGTTATGTCAACTTTAAACTGCCTCAAATTTATACCTGGAAAAAAATGCTTGAAATATCATCTTATTTAAATGTCGGCAGGTATGCATGAATGAAAATTTGGTTACTCTGGTACCGAAACCCTAATAATGTTGTCACGCCACGAGGCTTTTATTCAACTTGGGCCTTTAGGGTAGGCTGTAAACAGTGGATTCTTCTCCAGTGATTTTCAATGACTAGACAATGCTACCGTCTTAAACGAAAATCGGTCATCAGCTAAATCATTTTGATCTTGTTATTTAAAAAAGTAAACCCTCTGGAAATATTTTAGTCGTGAAGACAGCACCATTTATTTCTGAAAACGTGTAAGTGACTCAGATAACGACTGCCTCCGATTATGGGTTCATGCTACAGTTTGAAAGAGCAGGCCCAAAAGTTTTATCTTCTAAAGTACTCAAAGTATTTGTGTATCCAAGCGCTTGTTTGCATTTAAATATCAAAACATTCATGTGCCCCTACATTGGAAGCGGCCGTAGAGTAGCTGGACCAACATGAGGCCCGAATCGGTACACGGCAAGTATTGTTGAGGCCACGTACCCCTCAAATTGCTATCTTAGAACCCGTAATTACACGTCTAAGCACAATCTTCCATTGCATAATCCACTCGTAAATCCGGTCTGCTTGTTTTCTAAGGATACCGGACACATATGCTTAAGGTTCGGAGAGGGGGTTCCTCGTGTTTTACCTTGTGTTAATCTTCTATCAGTATATAGCAGCCCCGCACACATCACTTACCCTTTGTACAGGCAATTTCGATGTTTACTGTTGGCAACGTTGGAAGTGACAGGCGAAGTGTCGGATATACTGAGAGTTGCCAGCTGCACAAATGATCATACCATTAATACTTAGTTTTTATTAGTAATAAATAGTTATTTTGTGGGCAGTATGACGCTTGGCCAATCACAATAGCTTAATAGTCATTATTCGAAAACTATGTAGTCATGTTATTAACGATGACTCGGCGGATTCATATGTTAATCATATAATAAGCAAACAAGTTCTCATACTGGTAAATATACCCCATTTTCAATGTTTTTTTAATATAATGATATCAGTATGCATGTCATAGATGGATACCTAGGAGATAAGCATATTTATTTTTCATCCTAGTTTTCTGCGGCGGCCGCAGGGAGGGAAACGAAGGTAATATTTCTAGTCCAGGTTATCCGGATTACTACCCTCCGAACAAGGTTTGCATATGGGTAATCACTGTTCCCAAAGGACTTGTCGTTCGCCTCACTTTCGACACTTTTGAAGTAAGTTAAAACTAAGCAATGTAGGCATCGCTTCCTCTCTTGAGATGTACGCATGTATTTAAACGGTGAAAATACTCGCAGCCAGTCGCAACAAATCAGGATTGTTGGCATTTTTATTAGCGTCCGGTTAACGTTTAGGTGCTTTATCTATGTCGCAGCTGGTTGCGTCGACAAGGAGAATTTTCCCCCAAGTCCAGAGTCAGGGAAGACGGTCTTGATAGACAACCGTAATGCCCTAAAGATTACAGAAAAAAGGGGGTTTGAAATGAACTGTAATTACCCTGCATGAATTACTTTAGGACTGCGTGTAAAAATTTGATTAGCTGAATTAGGATTATTCTGCGAATGGTAGTTTACTGACGTTTTTGCCTATAAAACTTGTGCAATTGTGACCAACAATTATTATTATATTTAGCTTGAGAAACAAACGTCCTGCGAACATGACTATGTAGCTGTCTATCACAGGATGCAAAACAAGTTCCGTTTGCTCTCCAAGTTTTGTGAAGAATTGCATACACCAATCTGGTCATCGGATAACTCGATGAAAATGATTTTTTTCACTGACAAAGACATTCAAGAACAAGGATTTCTGGCTAGGTTTCAAGCAGGTGAGTCTTTTTGCTTAATATGAAACTTTAAACAAATGTATACAATTAATTGTAGGATATCAGATACATTTAAACAAATGTGAGAAAAATTTGAGTTACCCAGGTTTTGGAATAGTGTGCACGACGAATTTGCGCATACCGGTGTTGATGTTTAAAGTAAATTTCACGTGCAAAGGGAGTTATTTAAAACGCCACTCCCTTTTCCAAAATGCAGAAGGTGAACAGGAATTGGAATGTTGCCTAGGAGACAGAACTTATGCAACACGTCAATCAAAGAGTTGGCGTTTAATTTAACAAATTACGTCGTACCACTGCAGTTTTTTATGTTTTATCTACGTTAGCGTAAAACATGCAATGCTCGCTTACACAAATAATTCTAATTAAACTCAGAAAGTCAACAGTTGTCACATAAAACATCCTGTGTGCAATCCTCTATGACTGGTGTTGTTTTCTGTTGCTTAAACTTAAGTGGCTTGTCGCTGTGCATTTCAAATTTTTCCCTGTGAATGAAATTATAAACAGGGTTTCATGCTCAAATAAACAAAACCCTTTTGCTAGTGTAATATTCCCAGAGAAGGCAAGACACTTCGATTTGCAAAGCAAATATGCTAGCCAATTGTAAGATAGACCGTGTGTTATATTCCATCGCAGTGGTCTCCCAGGTTGCATCATACCATATAAAAATCAAAAAATTTGCTCATTAACTGATATGTTCTCTTCTTAGTTTCTCCTGAGGATATCGACCATTGTAACAACGGAGGTAACCCCTGTGATCACATATGCAAGCGCACTTTCCGCAGTTACAAATGCCACTGTTACTCAGGTTACAATCTTCTTCCGGATGAAAAATCATGCCAATGTAAGCTACCTTTTAGCGCACATTTCTCAATCCGTAAATCGCAGTTAATCTTCCCGTTACTGTTTCTAAAAAGGTAGGAGTACTACAGTTCACACTGTCTGTTAATATACTTGCCAAAGCACCAAGGCTAGCCCAGTAGGCCATCCGTTAATCGTAGATGATTACTTAAGAAATGCTGCCTGACAGTCAGCTTTCTGCGTTCGTATTGACAGATTCCATATGCACAGTAAGACTTGACAAGCTAATTCGCGCGAGCGTGATTAAATTGAAGGATCACGGCGAGCCTCGTGGCTAAATGGAAGAAATTTAGCCGCGCAAAAGCCTTCCTTGCTGTGTGAGTTGGACTCCGACCAAGGGCGCGAATTTTTCAAGATTGTGTCAATCAAATTTTCCTAATAGATGCTGCGTTAGCAAAACATATAAATTCAAGTAAGTAGAAGGATATTACCGAGAAAGACAAGGGAAACTAGATGGTCATTTCTGGCTTATTAGCCGTCGTCAGATAATCATACCCAGACCCAGGTGCTGTCCCACCCGCGCCTCCAAGAGGCGACCTCTCTGATCAGAGTTAAACACTAACCATTGAGCTACGAGCTCGCTGTCTTGCCGGCATTTGGTCGGGGTCATACATTGGCGGATATGCGTACACCGATCTATTAGAGGACACACTCATCCGCCCCGTAGTAATGTCCTACTGCCTATATCATTAAACACCTCGTCGTGTATGATAGTGTGTGTAAGTGAATTAACGACGTTTGCGATGTCTACGCTACATTTTCTTACAGTAGGTGAATGTGGTGGCAATCTGAGAATGGACAAAGGAAGCATAAGCAGTCCCGGCTTCCCACTCCTATACCCACCAAAAAGCAACTGCGTCTGGAAAATTGAAGTCCCCGCGGGATTCTCCGTTCTTCTCACTTTCACGACTGTCGATGTAAGTGCTGGTTTTAAACCTTCACTAATTGTTATAAAGGTCATTCGTTTGCTAAATTTTAGCATCAACCGCCTCATTGTGCCCTGATTAATCTGAACTGTAGGAACACCAGTTGTCCTAAGCAGTTCAACTAATATCGGTTTATTTTATTTTGTTTATATCGTCCTAGGTAAGGCAATGGTGACATCAATATGAGTGTGGATTGGATCCACTGAAGTCGCAGAAGCCATCACAAAAGTAAATTGTTTGGGG